ACACATTCGTCCAAAATTATTGAGCTCCTCCCATGTGATTTTCAGCTTAGTGAAGTCATATTAATAGAATTTTGACAAGAGTTGGGGAAAGTAAAATTGCACTTGATGAAACCCAACCACCTGCAGGAATCAAATAAACATGCTACTAGTAAAGCTTCGTTCTTCTAACCAAATCGTTGAAGAACCAGAATTCACTGAAACCTACCTCAGAAATCCCTAATTCAATCAAATCCATTGAATGCACGCTGTCATTACCAATGTATACATGAGAAACACAGAACTGCATCCTTTAATCAACCATTCACTTCTATTACCACCAACACTACAAATATAAAAATCAACAAAACTCATTTGCATTTTTCAGTTTCAAGCAATCAACATAGCCCTTGAATGAATATATATTAGCAAACAGGATTTGTTAACCAGCAAGGATAGAATCACCATGTGCTAGACTCAAATTATTTAATGAACAAGCATAAACTAAAATAAAATATCATAAATCAAATAGCACAAACTCAAAATCCCAAATTAGCTTTTGAAGGCATATTATGTAAAATATGCAGAACGGAGAGGCATATAATCCAAATATACCAACTCCATGATGCTCATGGCTTAAAGAATATTTATATGCCCATCTCAAACATATATTATTATTATACATTACATCTCTCATGAACCGTGTAAACATGCATTAATCATTGGAAGATTTACATGCATACCACTCCATTCATATATACCATGTTCGGTGATTGCATTGAAAAGTTAGAAAAAATACAATTAAAGACATACCACAACAAAGATAGAGTTTCATTAAAGACAAATAGGCAGCTAACCATAACTACTAAAGGAACTGCAATTTTCCATCCCTGCCAGAAAAAATACAGCTATCATAATCTCCATAACACAACAAGAAGCATGAAGTTTCAGTACGGATTAATAGAGAGCTCAACACAACTAATCAGAGAAAGCTGCGCTCCTTCCATCCCACAACCAAACTTCATCTACAGCTTCACAGGTCACTAACTATTTAATTAAACAAAATGTTGCAATTAATGCATTAAACACCAAAGTTGCTAACTTAAACAACAACAATTTTAAGCAATTATGCACAGCATTTATTACTTCAATATCCTCACCCTCAAACTTAGACGGGAGAGTGAACATGCCCTCCAACGATGGAAACACATAAACCTTGTAATTCCCATGGAATTTACAATCAAGTCGCTTTGCTTTTGGCATGTTGCGAAGGTACAACAACTTGAGGTGGGGAAGCTGCCCAAAAGGTGGAGGAGTTTCCCACTCCGAGCACCCGTTCAGACTGATGAACTCCAGATTGGAGATCAGATCTGTATTGTACACCCATTTTGCAGAGCTTACACCCTTGTATGAAAATATAAACAAACTCTTTAGATTTTTGTATGGTTTAAGATTTTCAAGCACATTCATATCTAAGTTAGAATTAACAATGTTTCGTAGGCTTCCAACTCCCTTGACTGATTCTCATTCATTAACAGTTTTGCCCCAATTAAAGAATAAATATGTGAGTTTTCTCTTCTCAAATAATTTTGCAGTGCAAGCCTCTCTCGCATCCTTCACATTTTTTAGAAAATGCATTTTTAATTTGTGCAACTCGCTCATAAGTTTCAACCCCCCAATTCTATAACCATTCTCAAATAATTTTGCAGTGCAAGCCTCTCTAATCGATCCCTAAAATAAAGCTTCAAAAATGCTAAGCATGTTGCTTGAGGACAAAATGACTCAAGCATGTGAAAATAGTTAGATATAATTTTTTTATGTAAAGTGAAAGGATGCGCATAAGTCCAATATTCAAATACTAATGAATCATAAATATCTTCTTTGGCAATATCCACAAAACACATAAATACAACAATAGCTCAATGATTTTCAATAGTTCTCAGGTATCAAACTAAACAAAAGAAAACAACGGAATAGATCAATATGAAGTTGAAAAAAATCAGAGTAGCAATATTTTGAATAATATTCAGCTAATAAATTCTCAAATTCTTCATTCATAGGTCTGTTATCTCATCAGTTATTTGTTCCCTCAGCTCTGTCATCTCGCTTGGACCTTCTCCATCTACAGTGAACGCGGTGGAAGCCTCGGTCTCTTCTTCTGTGAAAGACTAACCTAGACGGTATTCAAAGGCTTCTGCAGCACATTTTCTCCATCCTCTTCCGCTAAATGGAAGTCGATATCGCTACGGGAATGATGTCTTCTAATGTAATTATGGAGAGTCATTGTAGCAAAGACAACTTGTACCTACTTGGAGAAATTGTAGGGAGGCATATCACGGAGTATCATCCATTTCTAGTATCACCCATTTCTTTTTCCATTCTTTTTCCATACACCAAAAGTCCTCTCAATTACACCACGTAGCGATGAATGTCGTTTATTAAACATTTACTTTCTTCCTTGTGTAACGTTGTTTGCATGTGCGAAGTTTGGTATGTGATATCTCGTATCAGAAAATAGCTTTAAATACCCTCGTTGCAATAGGTAACCAGCATTGACCAAGTAGTATTTGCCTAATAAATTTAACAATTAGTATGGAGTCTCAAGTTCTTCGTTCAATGAGTTCAATCCAGAGCGTACCTGCAGGTGGATGTGGAAAGTTGCTATTGGGATCCTGTGTCGCAGATTTAAAAACTCGACTGTCATGTACGCTGCCCTCCCAACCAACCAGAATAAAAGTGAAACACATATTAAAGTCGCAGACGGCCATGACATTTTTGGTGCAATAAAAAATGGGCTTAAATTTTAAGGATAATATTATTAAGCAAACCATATTAAGTTTAATAGATCCCTAAGGTATTTACTAGTTTAAGAGTAGGGAGCAGGTCCATGTAACCTTCTTTATGTCTGGTAAAAGACCTTTGGTCCATTTAAACTTTATTATGTTGCTTAATAATTCATCCTGAATATCCTGATGCTCAGTGAACATTGATGTCTTGATTATTCCCAAGAATAAGGTAATTCTAAAATTATGTGGGTGAAGACCCTAAAGGGGCAAATTAGTGTTACTAAGAACACTTGGCCAAATTTTTAGTCCTAACTGGACTTGTGGTGTTTTAAAAGAGTTTGATTATGTTGATTTTTCTAATCCTCTTTTAACAAGTGGATTTCAACTTAAGTTCACCACTAAGTCCATAAGACCTAAGTGAATGCATTAAGTGTGTGTATT